ATGAGAGCATTTTTAAGAATGTGGAAAATTCTGTGGTTTTCTGTTGCTTTGTTCTGTGTTTGCAGAAGTTTTTGACTTAAACAACATTGACCATGCTTGGATGCTGTAGTTTTGAGTAGGGCTACTCTTTTAATCACTCTTCTAATTTCTTTTCAGGGGTCTCTACTCAAGCTGCCTAGATTAACAAAAGCTTGCTACAGCTTTAGAAACAAGCTAGGGGAGAGCATTTTTTAAGAGTACCAGGACACTGGAAGAAAATTGTAGGCTTGGTGTGCTAATACTTTGAAAAAGCAAAAAGGTTTTTGTCCTGTCCTAAATCTGAGGATAATCAGCAAATGCCTGAGAAATCATGTGCAGTGTTCATGTTGTCTGATCTGGAGAGAAATCACCCAGGATGACAGCTATTGTAGAGGCTCAGAATTTAGTGTGTGCTAAATTACCACTTGCAAAAACACATATATGATGCCTACTGCAAGAGTTTGCAGTCCTCAGGACTGCCGGAGAGTGTGTGCTAAGAATCCAGTCTGCTATGTGGAAGGGTCTGCTGTGCCCCCGGCTGTAATGGGCTGAGGACAGCACAGTTTTTGTCCAGTCTCCACTGTAAATTGGGAACTTGAAGTGTGGTTGCACTCCAGTTCTGAGCACAGGACTGTTGTCCTGTTTTGGAATGTGGGGGCATCGTCTTCCTCTGAAACTCTTAGACTGAAATCTGATGGCTGCAATCTTGCTCTATTTGCAACAAGAAAAGGATCTTCAAGACACATCTTGTTGGACTTACCTTGAAAACGGTCCTTTGTTTGGATTCCAGGTGCATCAAAGCCAGTAAGTCTGCATAATGCACTGGAGTTTCAGGTTCTATATTGAGGAAATAGAAATTGCTGAAATGAATGACATAAATGTTCATTCTCATGGACTTTACACTACTCAGTAGAACTTATGAACTATCAAAGCTGAGCTTAGTAGGAACACCTCACTGGACATGCTTATTCATCCCCTTTGTGTCCTATTGGTTGGGGAAAATACTTCTACTGGGAGATTAAAAACTTCCAGATGGTTGTCACTTCCAGATGGCCCATGATGGTTCCTTTATTTTTTTTTTTAAACTCAGTTCCTCTGCAGGCCACAGTCCACTCACCTGATACCATGTCTACTGCCTACTCCTGCTTGGGCAGCTCTTTGCTCCAGCCCCTGCTTAGGTATCATTGCCCGTGTCTCTTTTTTAATTCATCCCCAGTCCTGGGCTATTCTTGTGTCCACCCTGACCTCATCCCCCACAGCAAATTCTGTACCAAAACGCTGTCAATTTAGCCCAGTGGGGGGGGAAATTTTAAATTTTTTAGCATCATTAACACACCACAAGACGAGGAAAGTAGGACATAACTAATGTTGTAAAAGTTCATACCTTCTTTTCAGTGACCTTATTGTTTTTACAGTAACTAAGACAACACAATCTCAGCCTTGAAAATTTGTAGGTTTTAGGGCAGTGAATATAACTTTGGAGTCATGGTAAGCAATAGGGTGGGAAAAAAAATAAGCAAAAAGAGATCATCACCACTAGTGTTGGCACGATCTGAAAGGACCAGAACACATCAAAGAATAGATACTTTTTTTAAAAAAAAGCAAATATTAGTTATGGATTAGCAAGAAAAGTTCTTTCTGTACTAACTTAAACTTCTTTCATGAAGTTTTAGTTAGTGTAACGTACCATTCCTATATCGAGTAGTGTGCATTCTTTTGTGAAGGCTGCATTAAGATGTCAAAATGAAAACAGTGGTTGAAAACTATTCATTCAACAGTTAAGACATGGGATTATCTCCTAAGCATAACTTGGGACTGATTGCATATCAATGAATGAATTTCTGTATCAATGATGAAAAAAACCGGTATGACTCTACCTGCTAATGATAATCATGCTTCTTTAGTTCTTACATTGCTACTCAGGTCCAGGAGGACTTAGCACTTGTTAGTCTGTGTTTGACCACTGTAATGTTGCAGTCTAAGCTAATTGAGAACAGCAGGATATTAGTCTTAATGTTTTTGCCACATCTGAGTGGACATTTTTAATAGTCAAAATTGCGTTACTATGGCATTCTTGTTAGTTTGTTTTCTTTTTGTTCAGAATCAGGATATTTCTGGAAAAAAATAATTACTATTCTACTTAATTAGTGAGGAGTTCTTATTTCAGTACATATTAGTATCTTTAATGAATACTAAATACTTTCTGGTTATGAAAGATTGAGAAGAGAAAGCTGAAAAAGGAAGAGAAGAGAGGGAAGAGTAAGAAACTGGTAGGGGTTTTTTTCCAGAATTGCTTTTTCTTATTTAAAGCTGTGCTTCCTTTTCAACTCTATATAGGCAAAAATAGGGGAATTATTTTTTTATATATGGATATATATATTGTATTTTTTTAGGATATATATTCATTTTTTGACTACTTAGCAAGGCAAAGAGGAAACTATTCTCCTATTTAACCAATATTCCTATAATTAATAGTATTTCAACTGAATTGATGAAACTTCCAGACAGAGAGCATTATGTGCCTGTGAGGATAATGGAAGAACAAAACTTTTGTATAAAGATGATTTGGCTGAAGTTACAAATATTTTTGTATGTTTTATACAGTACCTTTTTTTTGTTTATAGATGTTTCAGGAAATTTAAAATCTAAGTAGGTCTATTATATTGCTACAGAAAAGTACAGATGACTTAACTGTACAGCAGCTTGGAAGGACTTCAGTGATGCATCAGGGACAGATTCTATAGCACATTTGGTCCTACAGACATAAAGTACATAAATTCTATTAGTTTTCAGAAATAATCTTTATAAATATTCATTGCCAAGTGTCAAAACAGTGGTCTAATTCTAGACTCATCTAAATTTTAGTATCTTGTCAGAAAAAAATCCTAACTACCCTAGTAATCTGACAAAATCGTGATTTATCCATTTAGTTTAACAAAAAGAGCTATGCTGTTTCCACAGAGTGTAGACAGCTTGTTGTTCAGTAAAGCTGTAGTTAAAACATGAAAAGACTGTAACTCTAGCTTTATCAGAAGTGATTAAAGAAGTGTCAGTAAGCTTCATTTATGAGGTTACATACTGAACTGTAATGTCTGTGCCAGACCACACGTGCTCTTCAAAATGCTCAGGTTTGTGTTGAGCAGCGCATCTGAGGAACCAGCACAAACATGCAGGCCACCTCGTTAAACAAATGAAGATATTTAGGTGGGGCGATGGAAGATTTTTGTGCTGACAGTGCAGGAGAGCAGCATCTCTGAGCTGAACGGTTGACTTTTACTGACACACCCACTTGCTTTAGTCATATTTTATTCACCTACCTTTTACATATTAAAATCCTAACCTGTGATGTGTCGAAAGTCACAGTTATGTGATATACTGAACTGTGACTAAACTGAATATCAGTGCTGGTCAAATGTATGTTCATTAACCACACACTGACAACCTGTATTTGGTTCTTTGATCATTAGTTTATGTGGTCAGAGCCTTTATATTTTCCTTGCAATATCAATCTTCATCAAAGTAATTTCCAGACTTCTAAGATTTTTTTTTTTTATGGACTCTTTAACTTTCCAGAGTTAAAGTTGCTGGTTGCATTATGGGAATATGCATCACTTTATGTTTGCTTGTGATTAATTGGGAGGTAAATGAAAAATATATCTATGGTTGAAGACAAGTAAAGCTCAAGTATGATTGAGGAAGTAATTGTAGATATTCAAAAGAGTGGAAAGCATTCATGTAAAGATTCTATTAAAAAAAAGGTAAATAAAAGCCAGTCACCTTTTCATAACCTTTGTTTTGAAGAGGTTTGTATCATGAGAACAGCTATGCAACCTCCTATGGCTTGGTGATTTAGAAGGAAAAGATGAGTTGGTGTTGAGGGTACAGTGACATTTGTATAAAGAACTAGCATTTGCATTGGTTCCCTTGGCCTGCCTTCCTTCTTCTTTAACTTTCACTGAAACTGTACTGCTGTCCCTGATCTATTCTGCATTCTTTCTGTCATTTCTTCCAACACCCAACATAAGAGAACACCACATCTGCTGTCAGGTGAGCTTCAAAGAACCTTGACTCCCAGCTGCTACTGAAAGCTGCTCTTCCTGCCAAGCAGTAGAGATATTTCAGACAGTTAATGTCCCCTTTGTAATAAAGCCAAATTGAACCTCCTTGACTAAAGTAACCAAAGTTCTGTGTGGTTTTTTACATTTTCATTTATTTTGGAAAAAAATGTGTTAAAAATGTACCTCTTAAAAGGAAATGAGGGCAGGGTAAGGAGTATGTGTTTTCACATCTTGGAAAGGGGAAAAAACAAGAGAGTCAAGAACCTAAAAAGTTAAATCCAACTGTAAGTCCTGCTAATTGATATCTTTGGAATTTGATGGCAACATTCCCTGAAGAATACAACATCTATTTGTCATTAAAATGTAGCTAAATTTAAACTGACAACTATAAAATCATAAAATGGTTTGGATTAGGAGAGGCATTAAAGGTCATCTAGTTCCAGCCTCCTTGCCATGTGTAGAGAGACACCTTCCACTAGACCAGGTTGCTCAAAGCCCCATCCAACTTGGACCTGAACACACATCCCTGATGGGGATGGATCATTCTGCAACTTCTCTGGGCAGCTTCTTCCAGTACCTCACAACCTCACAGTAAAGAATTTCCTCCTAATATCAAATCTAAACTTCCCCCTTGTCCTATCACTACGTGCCCTTGTAAATGCCCCTCTCTAGCTTTCTTGTAGGCTCCCTTGATGTACTGAGAGGCAACTGTAAAGTCTCCCCAAAGCCTTCTCTTCTCCAGGCTGAACAATCCCAATTTTCTCAGCCTGTTCTCATAGGAGATGTTCTCCATCCCTCTGATCATCACAGAATCTAGAATCAGATGGCCCTTGTCTGGTCTCACTCCATTAGGTCCATGTCCTTCCTGTCCAGGAACCCCAGAGCTGGATGCAGTGCCCCAGGTGGGGTCTCACCAGAGCAGAGCAGAGGGGTAGAATCCCCTCCTTTGACCTGCTGCCCACACTGCTTTTGATGCAGCCCAGGATACAATTGGCTTTCTGGGCTGTGAGTGCACATTGCTGGGTCATGTCCAGCCTCTCCTCCACCAGCACCTCTCTGAGTCCTTCTCAGCAGGGCTGATCTCCATCTGTTCATCTTCCAGCCCGCATTCACGCTAGAGGCTGCCCCACGCAAGTGCAGCACTTTTCATTTTGCTTTGTTAAACCTCGTGAGATTCCCATGTGCCCATACCTAGAGCTTGTCTAGGTCCCTCTGGATGGCATCTCATCCTTCAAGTGTGTCAGCTTGGTGTCAAGGGCAAATTTACTGAGGGTACACTCAATCCCATTCTCTATGTCACTGATGAAGTTATTAAACAGTTCTGGTCCCAATTCTGAGAGATACCACTTGTCACTGATGTCCATTTGGACTCTGAGCCATTGACCACTATTCTCTGGATGCAACTGTCCAACCAATTCCTTATCCACCAAAGAGTCCACACATTGAAACCATTTTCCAATTTTGGGAAAAGGATGTTGTTGGGGACTGTGTCAAAGGCCTTGCAAAAGTGCAGATGACTGACAGATGATCCATAACCCTTCCCTAGTCCACTGATGTAGTCACTCCACTGTAGAAGGCCATCTTATCACTACCTTAGTGATACTAAAATATTTTTAGATGGGTGTGTAATGCTATATGTCCTGGTAGTTGTCATGGTGAAAATAAGTTGTAAATTCTAAAGTAGAGTAGTTTTTTCTTTTTACCTTATCTAATTTCATTTGCTAAGCACTTTACTTTGACCCATGTATTTAATACATTACTTAGTGTTGATATGAATACATGCACTTGTAAAGCTACAAAGAATGGAGGTTTCACAACACATGTTCCTAGCCTTAATTAATGTTAGTTTTAGGAAACTGTATTGAATCAGGCAATTCAGTTCCAGATTATGGCTTGAAATTGATGAGTATAATCATAGTATTGAAAGATTCTGGAGAACTCATACGGATAATGCAATGTGCAGTGTAATGAAGTCATACATGTATTAATGCCATTTAGTTTAAAGGGATGGATGGGTGGTGAGAGCTGGGAAGATGATGGGATGTGTCTGAATCTATATTAGAGATGCCTTGGAAGACTTGCATTTTGTTGCATATGTATATTAATGTATTTATCTGCTCTATGCAGCAACACCTACAGAAGTTCTCAGGCACGGTTTATCATGCAAAGTAACTTGTGTACATTTCAATGGGCAAACTGGCAGATAACTTGTGTGCAATGATAGTACACACAAATTATGTTCATAACCTCTACTCTCTTATCCTTCAGGGAACAACCCATCTTCAGCACCCGAGCTCATGTCTTCCAAATTGACCCAAACACTAAGAAGAACTGGGTTCCCACCAGCAAGCATGCTGTTACTGTGTCCTACTTCTATGACAGCACAAGAAATGTCTACAGGATAATCAGTTTGGATGGCTCAAAGGTAAATTTTATTTCAGAAAACCTAGTTTCACCATTCATTTTTGTATTTATTTACTAGTCTGGTGTCCTTCATGTTTCTTCTGAGATGTTTGTGTCATTATCTAACAGATTACTGATGTGTTAAAATGGAAACATTTCCTCATTGCATGTTTTAAGTGTTTATTTGAAAATTTATTTTCCATGTGGTTGTATTTGCTTCAATAACTGTTGCTGAATTCAAGTGATAACCTGTTGCTTAGCTAATACTATGGGGAGGATAAAATGACAAAAATTTGTACATAAAGTACAAATAGGGTTACAATAACATGTTTTCATTTTTGTGTTCAGTCACTTATCAATATAATTAGCTTTGGCATTGTAAAGGACATCTGTTCAGTGCCCATAATCACTTAGTAAATCCTTCGTTACATAATCTTCCAATTTTTGTGTAGAGAATGTGAGGATTCCCTCCTAATAAAGCCTACCTAATAAAGCTTTCCATGGTAAGCTTTTATCAAAACTCAGTTGGTTTGAGTCTTGAAGGGAAGGGGTTGTGGCTTTTTAATTTTTTTTTTTATTTCCCTACTTTAATTAGAAAGGATAATGTACTGAGTTGCTGTTGCAAGAAATGTCTAAGAAATCAATTTGATGTGCAGAAAATACTTGACTGTTTCTAAGGTTCTACCCCAAGTAGGTATAAGAACAGTAACTTTACAAACAGCATATCAGAAAACTTTGCATTAAGTATATTAAAGAGATACAAAATGTAATCAAAAGTTGTGATCTTTTCCAGAGACTTTCATTTGAAGCTTCTGGAAGCATGTTAGTTCATAATCACTGGAACTGAAATACTCTTTTAGAACATAGCAATATTCACAGAGATTTTGGGACTATTTATTAAAAGCTGAAAAATATTACCCTGCATTTTTTAAAATATCCAGTGTATTGCTATTTTAAATGAGAAGGAAGAATTTCTATTGCAAATAACTATTTAGGAAGCAATTTCATAGTCAAAAATCTCTGCTTCAAGTGATTGAGGCTCTGGTGTTAAAGTCTACCAGAATTTTTCCAAGTTTAAGTCTTACTTTTTTTCCCTTCCCAGCCCTCCTTCAAATGATTCTATCAGTTGTGTCAAATAATTAACATCCCTTTTGAGTGACTGTTTATGAATAAAAACCTTAGAATTGGAACTAGATATATGAAATCAAGACTACCAGTTATAAAATGTAGTGCTTTAACTGATCTGGAGAGTTTCCGAAGTCCTTATTCTGCTATCCCCTGGGGTTCATTTGCCTTCAACCAAAGCTGCAGTTCCTGCCAAGTGCCTGCTGAATTAAATTTTCAAGTAGTCATTCAACTATTTGTTCTTTGTCTACTGCAGCATTCCCTTTACATTCATGGTACTATGGGCAAGCTATATTGATAATGCAGTTAATCACTTTCATTTACTCTGTGAGTACTGCAATCCTAATAATGTTTTTATCCAAGTCTTAAATGATTCAGATCTGGAATTCCAGTCATGATTAGGAAGGACTCATTGTTTTAGGCATTCACAACACTGCTCTGAAATATACACAGGTGAATAGCAGTATTTTAAGAAGGATTCCTGCATAATTCCTGGAGACTTCTTTTTTTTTTTTAATTAAACCCCTATCTTTTTTAGCATGTCTGCACATACCCAATATGGTATATACAAAGGACTAAATGTAAATATAAAACATTCTTATGTTTGGAGTGCATCAAGATAGTGTCCCTGTTGCATGGCATTCAGCTAGGTGTCAGTAACACTACTGGCAATACCATGTTGCCAGTGGCCAAAAACACTTGTTGGACCCGTTTTTAGGGTGTCATGCCCCTCCCTCAGAAGGAATAGATCCAACCAGGTTTTACTCTATACCTGGGTGCTGGTGGGGTTTGCAGCACCCTTTGGATTTGTGTGGTGGAGAGAATGACGTGAATGTGGCTGCTCAGTTGCTCAGGTGCTGAGCAGTAAGACAGTGCTGGCAACTCACATGTATATTCACTTAGACTGCAGTAAGAGGGGGTTGAGAGAGAGATGCTTTAGATTTGAGTGGTAATCCTATTTCTGCCCCACACCCTTCCCTCTTTTTTAGGACAGTGAGTTTCAGTAGTATGCCTGGATAAAATGTAACTTCTATACTGATAGTTTAAAAGTCATTAAATCTTTCTACTTGAAAAAAAAGGACGTTTTAAAGAATCTCATTCAGCTATTGTATATTGCAGATTCCCACTTGAATTTGCTTAGTGGGGGTCTTTGGTTTATTTTATAAGTGAGGGATTTTTTTTTTTTTTTGAGCCAGCTGTTTACTGCTTACTTTGAATGCATTCTGTGTAATTTTTTTTTCTGAAATTACAGTCTTCTCTTGGAATAACTTGCATCAGAAATTAAGCTAGTTAGTGTCTCACTAACTTCACTATAAAAAACCATTCTAGGACCATAAGGTGTTCAGTGTAGAGGCTATATTTTATAGTCATGTGTAATATTTGCTATATTTTATAGTCGTGTAATATTTGGAGCCCTGTTGCCCACAGCAGGAAAATCCTGTAATCTAATAGAACTTGAAGCTGATTTCTGTGACCCCTTGAGTAAATATCTTTTATGTAACCCTTTCCTCCTACCACTCTCAGAATCAAAAGAAAGCCTGAGCAATAAAATTTCTAATGCAGTATGGCATGACAACATTGAGCAGTTGTTGCTAAGGCTTTTGCTTCTCATTAATTATATAGTCATTTCAGAGTTCCTTGGAAAAATGTGTTTGAGTACTTCTTTCTCCTGGGTGATGGAATGAAGCCTCCATTATTTCTCCACTAACAGTGCAGACAGACATTAGGATTATTCCCAGAGTCCCACTGTCTTTTCCATTCAGTCTCTGAGAAAAGGAACAAGATCAAGTAGTGTGGTTCTTGCCATTTTAGTTAACTCTCTGATAATCAATTTTTTTCACAGCTACAAGATAGGAAAACAAAATTAAAATTTTGTGTTCACCAAAAATAAGGAAAGACTCTGGAAAAGAGTGGTTTTCCAATCTGTAGGTTCCATCAGCCTTATATATATTATTACTCTGTCAAGTCTCCTGTCAGTGTTACTGCCGTAGATGATTTTTGTATTTTAATAACTGTCTCACTTTAAAGGGATAATCTTTTAAATGCTTGATAAAAGTTTTAAGTAAGGCCTGTAAGCTCCAGAGTTCAGTAATCTTCCTTTGAAAAAGTTAAAAAATACTGTGTCTTAATTATTATTCCTATCAATTTTAGCACAAGATAAAATCATATTTGACTGTTACTGTATGTCTTGCAGCTGTTGGGTTTGCAGTCAGTAAAATGAAAACCTCAGACACATGCCCTATTTTCTCATAGCTAAACTAATATGAAAGGAAAACATGAAAGCTATTTTATAATTAAAAAAAATTCTGAAGATAACTAAATCTGCTTTCTTCAAAAGCTAAATGTCTGCCTGTCAGATTGACTCTGTTCTGTTTTTAAGATATTTTTGTTCATTTATGCAAATAGCATTCTTGAAAGTTGATGAAATATTTGACACTTGTTATACTGGTAACTCTACAGTGAAATCTGGATTAGAGGAGAGCAGTTAAAGCAGTACCTGTTTGAATGTGCAAGACAGGCTTAATTATAAATTCTGATTAAAAAATTAATCTTTTTATTTTTAAGCTGAAGATATGAAAGATTTGTATCTACTTCTTTCCAGAAGTAGCTGACACTGACTGTATCTATAGGATGCTCTAGTGCTGCACTTTTAAAAGCAGAATTTTACACTTTAGAGATGTAGTGTACTAATGTTTTTAATTCAGAGAAGACTGAAAGTCTTGATTTTCTTGTAAAGTTGGTAAATCTGATGGAAGGGCTCTTCTTTTTTTTTTTATCACTGGGAATCTAGTCTTCCCAAGTGAGACACTTGAGTGCAACCTCCTTATTTTTCTCTCCTGGAAAATAAAGAGAAGAATTGCAGCAACTCTTTCTCAATATAATTATCTTTTTAAAAAGTTTTCTTCCTGCGTTTCTCCCTTGCAAGGAAGCAATTTGACAGTCAATGTAACCCAGCATAAATGCGGATTGCTGTCAAACAGCTATCCTATCCTGGTCCAGGCAGTCTGTTCTTGTTCTCTGTTCTGCAGCAAGCCATGTGGTCAGCTGAAGCAGTCTCAGCTAAAAACTGGTTGGTTTCTCCCAGGTTTGTCACTGGGTTAAGCTGGAACCAGCTATGCTGCTATCACTGCAGGAGATGGCAGCCCTACAGGCTTTAAACCTGCCATTTGCTTGGAGATCTTAAGTCCATATCATCATCCCTGGCTTCATCTTCCAAATTGAGAAAGTTACATCCATGACATAATATGTACACTCTCAAATCTGTGATGCAAGTTCCAATTAATCAAACATTGGATGGACCTGGGCTTAAGCAAGCTAGACAACATAGTTAGAGCTCGAGTTGGAAAAAGAATCTTTTCTACACAGTCCCAGGATATTTAATTTCAAGCATGTTATTGTGGACAGCTTCCACAGCAAGTGAGATTGAGCATTAAGTGAACCTGCACAGCTCTGTTCTGTTTATTTCAAAAGTGGGCTTCTGACCAGTAATAGTGCAAAAGAATACAAGAAACCTACAATAAAAGAGACATCCAGAACACCTCCTTTCTGAGAAGTCCACCACTCTCTCTCATATTATCTTGTCTGTCCTATGTGGCATAGACAACCATTTTCTATGAGGTCAGTTGGAGGTCATAATGCAAGTACAAGCCTGCTGGCTTTGTTTGGACTCCAAACCCTATGCCTAAAGAAAGGAGAATAATGTTTCATTTACCAGTGACTTTGCTGAGCAACTTCTCCTATGTGAAAATCTGAGATACATTTTTTTGGACAATAATTGCTGGAGACAGTTCTCCAGTCTCTGGTCACATGGCAAATCTTGTCTTTGACCTGGTGAGGCTCTTTTGTTCAAATGTAAGCTTTTAGAGATTCCAAAATTTTCCAGAAGTTGTTCACAAAGGTAGCTAAAGTTTGCATTTTGAGGCAAAGGTTATCAGAGACAACTGCCTGTTTGATATTCTCAGCTTTGAAATTCTTCAGATTTGTTCTTCTAAATTAATGTGAATATAGTGGAGCTGCCAAAGCCACTGCAGAAGATGCCAGTTTTGTTAAATTTATCTGTGCTGCAATATCTTTACTTGTCTTTTTATGTGTTGCAATACAATTTGTTCTCCTTTCTTTCAATAATCCTCTCTGCCACTTAATCTGAGAATCACCATATGCACGTGGGAGCTGTTTGTGGGTTTAGCGAGCCCCTCAGCTTAAAATTTGTCAGTCTTACTCTGTAAAATTCATAGAAAATTTTAAGCTGATAGTAGCAGTGCTTCAGCAGTACCCAAATCTCAGCAAAAGTCAACTCCTTCTTGTAATATCCATCCAGAAGGCCATATCACACAAGTAGTATAGACTGATTTTGACTTCTAGAAGGTCTTGGGCTTGTGAGAGCAGTACTTCATCTCTCTGATGTTGAAGTTTCAGACTGTCACCATCCCAAGAAAATGTTATGTTCTTCACATCCATACAGTTTGTGCTAGTCAAAGAATAAAAGAAAGTTTGTATTATTGACAACAGATAGTTTGGACCATGTGGATTTTGTTGTTGCTGCAGGGTTCCTCAGTAATCACTGTCTTTGACCTGCCAGGGCTAAGGCAGGAGTTATGTTTTCATGGAAACAGGAACCATGCACACAGCTGTTCAACAGATTCTCAGCTTGGTACTGTAAGACAGCTGCAGTAGGAAATACACTGACAGTAACCTTTGGAGGATGGTAGCTGGCATGTAAGAAAAATTCTTGCTGAATCGTTCTGCTTATAGTGTGTGCTATTTTCTGGAAAGTTTTTAGGACATTGTCAGGTGTCACTTGGGTGTAACAAAGCACCAGGCATTCATGAAAGGGGCTGTGAATTATTTGACAAATGTGAGTGAAACTCTTAGTAGCACCAGACAGTTGAGGCACCATGCCTGCATTTCACTTCAGATACACCTGTCTTTGGGTTTATGGCTAGTCTTTTTTGTCCCTGTTGACTGGTTGTAGACTGTACTGACCATAAGTTTTTTAGTTAAATGAAACCCACTAGTATCAGTATAAGACTTTATCCTGTCATACTTTAAAGTCAGCTGGACAGTTCCATATTGCAGATTTAGAGTATGCTAGACAAGCAGAAATACTGTTGAAATCCATGGTGAAACTCCAGTTGCTTTTAATGGAATCAGCATATCATCTAATAGTTGCTTTTTGTGTTTGCGTTAGCAGAAGCTACATGCTGGAGGATGTGCTTCTTCCATCCTTTAGATAATAAGAACCAGAGAAGAAAAATTATTCCAAGGGTAGCTCTGCTTCTGTAGTTGGTGGATGACCCTGTAATTGTTAGCCTTGCTTGTATGTGTGTAAAGGAAATAGATTCTTGTAGTACAGAAATTTAAAAAAAAACTGTGCTCCTTGTTTTACTGCATGTTTTTCAGGGAGAATCTCATTTGCAACAGGGCAAGGGTGGGTAAACGATGGAGCTTCCAGTGGAACTTGAGAGGCCTTGTCTTAGGGAACAAACTTTGCTGTTCTTCTATGCAGATGCTTTAAAAAACTTAAAGGACTACTTGCAGTTGTAAATTGATGCCTTGTCTGTCCGCCCTCCTCGCTTTTCGCCCTTTTACAGAATGTGTGCAAAAATATACCTTTGCAAGTTTAGCTGTGATTGACTTAAAAAACTGTTTCTTAACTCTTAGTAAGTGTGTGTCTCAGTGTACAGATACTTGCCTACAATGTCGGCATTTTCAATTATGAGTAGTCTTAAAAGAAAAGTCAAAACCACAACCCCCTTTTTTACAACTGTTACTTTTTTCAGGCAATAATAAATAGCACCATCACTCCCAACATGACATTTACTAAAACATCCCAGAAGTTTGGCCAGTGGGCAGACAGCAGGGCTAATACAGTCTATGGCTTGGGATTTTCATCTGAACACCACCTTTCAAAAGTAAGTATGACCAGCTAGTGAAGCCATTTGAGTATATTTTATTCCTGCTTGCTGTATCTTGATTCAGTTCTCATTACTGTTGTTATTTAAAAATAATTTACAAAAAATATTCTGTATCAGTTTTTATTATGTAAAAACAGAAGACTAAATGTAATACCTTCAAATTTTCTTTTACATGATGGAGAAAAGGAGGGACATTTAAGCCTATCACAGTATATGTTGTTAATGCGTTTGAAGTATTGATTTGTTGATTGTTGTTGTTTTTTAGATTCCATTACTCTTTTTCATGATAGAATGTAAAGAAGTAAACAATTTAGTGTTTCTTCTCTATATAGATTTTCTAGGACAAAAATTGCTGGTAGTCTTCAGATGCATTTTTGTCTTTTAGGATAAATGTACTTCCACTTTTCTACTATGTAGTGCATCAAATTACTGATATTACAAAGTTTGCAGTCTTAAAGTAAAGGTAGTGGGAAATATATTCAGTTTTAAAAAAAAAGGCATTTTTTATTGAAATGTAAAAGTTGAAATGTTTGCCAAAAAAACTCCTTGCCATAAATGAGAGTTTCTTTTCCAGTCTGCTTGTGCAGGAGGGAAATACACCTTATGCCAAAGAAAGCAGTAATCTCTATTTCTCAAACTGATGGTACAGTTCCTCTGAGCACTCTTCCTGCAATATGTATTCCTTTTACTGCTGCTCTGGTAGACAAGTCCGGGAACCTGTACAAGACTCTGTCATTTTTTTTCAGATGAAGAATTTCAATTCAGTTTAAGAACCTGTATTTATATTAAACAAACAATTTTCCTATTTGAAATATACAGAAGATCTGGACACCCCAAGTGCAATTAAAGGAATGCATAGCACATATTTAAGTAAGGAATAATGATGAGTGGGTATTTAAAAGGAACAATCATAGCAGCCTTCTTGAGAAAGTTCTTATTGCTATCCAAGGATAAGTATGGGCCTGCCTGAAAGCCATTAAAATGAGACTCAGTACAATCTATTTTATTTGGACAAGTGTCAAACTTGTTGGATTTCTTCCTTTTCATAATCAGATAGTTTTCCTTTCCACAAAGCAACAGATTTGTTCTAGAACTTTTTTTCTGTACTCGATTTATTAAAATCCTTTAATGAACAGCCCTGCTGTATGTAAGTTGTGTTGCAGTAGTGTCTCTGGGCCCCAGTGAAAGATCTCAAGTTCCAGAGACCAAAAGACAGCCTGCAACCACAGACTTGATCTCGTCTGTGACTGATTTCCACTAGTTAATGATGTAATAATCAGAGCAGACGAAGTAAACTGTTTATTCTCACATCATTGTCTACTTAGAGTAGTTTATGCTGTTTGTTTTTTGTTTAAGTGTCCTTGTCCTCCTGAACTAATTGCTAAGTTAGAGTGCAACATCAGTAAACCTCTTTCTGTACAATTATTGTGACTAAGAATTAGTGGAGTGAGACTGTCTGATAAAAAAGCAATGGCACTTCAATGAACTTCACATCCAAACAGTACAAAAGAAAATTAATTAATCATTTATTTATTTTCATTAGACCTTTTCTCAATATGTTAGACAACAAATTCATCTCAAGGCTGTTCCATCAGAAGCTGGGGATACCTGGAAGGTATTTGTGTTGGAAAACGTTCCATTCATAGGATTTGTTAGCGGAACCCCTCTTGCTGATCCAGTATAAGAAATAGAATGCCCCATGATTTTCAGGAAAAACTGAGAATTACTTTCTCATTCAGAATGTGTTTATGCTTTTGATAGTATCCTGATGTATGAGAAGAAAAATTCTTTTTAGAGTTTGCTGTCTTACCCTTTTGAATTAGTTGATCTGATTTATTCTGTAAAACTTAAAAAGTATACTAAATGGAAAGTGCCACCATGGATATTTATGTAAGCCTCATGTAGTCTTCCTGCACAATTCTTTATTTTTTCCTTAAAATTTTGGTTCTCCAGAGAACTTTTCCTTTTGTACCATGAGACTATGTCTTTGTCATTGAGAAATTTTATCAGGAAATAGCTATTATTACCTGACTATCACAAGGAATTCTGGAAAATTTGTGAAAATTTCTACCAAGTTTTCCTTAAAATGGCCCTTTCTCAGAATGATATCTATTGATCTGTCTGTTATATATTTTTTGCAGTTTCTATGGCTGTCATACAGAAGACCATATTTACTGTCTTTATGTCTTCAGCCATTTATTCTAAACCTCAGCATTATGTTTTCCTCTTAACAATCCTCTGGTCTTAAAGCTGATTTAAATAATAGGTTACCCACCAGATTTTGAGGTTTAGGTACAACTCTTGAATAAGTATTGTCTAGTTCTGGTGATCTGTTGCCAATTTCATCATCTGTTTTGAGACAATTTTTGGATGCTGGATTAAACTTTCAGGAAAAATAAGCTTTGAAATAACCTGACAGGTGAAATAGAGGGTACAAGTGGAGAGAAATTACATTTCCTCAAATACTAGTACCTACCAGGAGAAGACCATAAGGTTTTTTTGGGTCTTCTGAAGTAAGTGAAGTTCTGATTGAAAATAGTTGATAAAGTTGTTTCACATAAGAGGCCTTTTTATCTTCTAAATACAATGTGTACAAAACAGTTTCATCATAGGCTGTTGCCAGATAGATTTAGAAGCTGTTGTTGAAGATTCCAATATTTTTGCAGAATCATTTCAGTCTTAAGCTGATCATAATAAGGTAATGTTCTGTAGGACACAAAAGCAAATGCTTGGCTACTATAGCAATTAGTGTAGCGTCAAGATGAGATCTAGGAAGACAATTTTTTTCTCTATCCAGAAAACCAGGCCTCATTCTTATTAAAGTGATATAATCTCTCAAGTTTAAGGGCACATGTGTTTCTAAATTGCTGCTTTAGCTAGTGTCTTCAAGCATAGAAATAAAGCCTTATATGGCAGTTCAATGTGCAATTCCTTGATTCATTGTTCATATATGCAAGTGTTTAGTTCAATGAATTTGTTCTTTAACTTGATTGATGTCAATGAACAATCAAGAAATGAACTTGATTCAGTATTTCCACTGTTGCTTTCCTAATTAGCTATTGAATTATAAATGCAGTTAAAATTTGGGAAGAAATCAGTATTGTTTCAATCATGAAAGAATGAAGCCCACTGAAAGATGTAGGCTAATGGTGACCACATTAGCGTTCAGAACCAGATTAGTTATTGTCAGGAGGAGGGTAAAACCTGAATCTAAAAGCAGCTGTGTAATACAGTTTGCCACTATTATTAGCCATCTCTGAAGTGAGTTTTTTTAAAACTATCAACAACAGATCATGTTTCATTGCATTGTAATTTTCCTGACGTGTAAACAGTGTACATTATGTCTGAAAGGTATATCACAGGGTAACTCATTTAAATGAGTATCTCATAAGGAGAAAATTTAAAAAATTCTACTGACAAAAACTGATTTGGTAAAATGCAAAGTGCAGCATTCTGTTCTACATGTATTGGATTGCTTCATGCCTACTCTTTCTCTCTCTCTTTTTTTTTTTTTTTATTTAACATATGTACCTTCAGTTTGCTGAAAAATTTCAGGAATTCAAAGAAGCTGCACGAATAGCAAAGGAAAAATCCCATGAAAAGATGGAGCTAACAAGTACACCCTCTCAAGTGAGTCTTATTGCCTGATTCAAGCGTTGTACTTCGTATCTGTTCTACTTACTGTATTCTTACACAGACATGTATTAAAAATTAACAGGGTATTTCTCAGTTACTGTGAATCCTCTCATCAGTCAGCAAGAATGTCAAGAAGTCTCAAGAATACATTTTGCATACACTGCAGAAATATCAAAGGACTTGCTTTAAAACAAAATTGGGCTTTTTTTTAATTCCTTTCTTAGAACTTTCCAAGTAAACATGGTTATGTAAGTGAATCTATAGGGAACATTTTTTGTACGTTTTCTTATTGTATCCATGAAAGTTCAGGTGTTGCACTGTAAATAACTTTTATAGAACAATCATTGCAACAGAGATGGAAGCTTAAAAAGCAAACTATTTTTACTTATTTCCTACTGTGTAGTTTTCACTTGTGAAATGTGTTAAAGGAGTATGACGGATTCACATGCTGGTTCTGGAGTTTTATTACGTTTAGCCATGGTGTACAAGAAGACTTTATAAAAGGTATCTCAAAATGTGAACTGGGTTAATAAAGGCCTAATAGGAGGATAAGTTACTATATTCACATTTACATTAGTCATGCCAAAAATTAATTACGAATACTTGAATTCACTTTGAGAAAAGAAATTGCATGAGGCTTTTATGGCCCATGTATTCTGCCCTCCCAACCAGTATTTCTGACTCAGTGTTGGCTATTTACTTTGCTTTAAGCAAGAGTAAAGACAAAGTAATTCCTTCTCTTGTAGAATGCAGCAGCTTTAAAACTGCAGCAGGAATTCCTGAGTTGAGTAGGTTTAATGTAGCTGAGTCTTTTTTTCTGGAGAGTCTTTGTTTATTGAACCAGTGCATCTCTTAAGTGCTTTGCACTGTAATAGGCTTGTGATCCTTGAAGGAGCAAGGATGACAGGCAGTTTGCAACATGTTGTACAAATAGTTTTATTGCCACCAGAAAGCTATATCTAATGGCCTTCCAAGAGGAATTGGTGGAAACCAGAACACACACAATTCATACTGTTTTCCCAGTAGGCATTTTACCCAAGTACTAGATTGGCTTTGGCTATTAATGGGAGCCTGCTTGCTCTACTTAAACAGGAGAAAAATAAGGCAGTCTTTTTTTTATTGATTTTCTTAACTGTCTCTAAATTTATGATAAATTCCACAGAGACAATGGAAGTGGGTATTTCAATACTATACACTGTTGATAACACACTTGGCTTTAGAAACAGTAAAGTGCTTCAGCCAGGCCTCTAGTTTCTTGACGCTGTAAGTAAAAAAATTACTGTACTTCTCTTTTGACATGTTGTTTAATATTCTGAACTCAGAAGTTAAATCTGACACTGTCAAACTGAGTGACTTATTACCTGCTTTGGATATAGATATGAACTACTCACTCAGAGACAGGATGTTTTCATCTAGCAGCTCCTCAGTGTTAAAGCTTTCTCTTAAACTCTATGACATATTAATATTGTTCATTTTCCTTTATAGACTTCCTTTTACAGTCGAAAACATTTTATACTGTAGGCAGTTACAGAAATGTTACCTTGAGTGATTCTATAATGCCTAATGAGGGCTGCATTATGGCACACTTAGGAGTATTTTCTTATTCAGGCCTTACTTTTTTGTCTTGGTTTTTGCTGTGTTGATAAGCTAGTGTATTATTCTGAATTATACAGTTAGTGCAAGTGTTGACACATGAGCATAGTAGTCTTCACATTCTAGTTTCCCAGAGAGAAGGGAACTGAATCAAGAACTTCAGAGTTTACAACAGATGAGAAGATGGCATGATGGCAAACTGCATCACTTCTGTGGCACTGGAACTCATTCAATTTATGACTGATAGGAAGAGGGTGCTTGGTAGTGGGCAGGGAAGATGGGACCCTAGAGACCTGTGTAAATGACCAGGAGCACCTGTGTCATTTTCATCATCTGCCAGGAACTGATTGCAAGGCAACTAATTCAAGTGTTGCCTTTCTCAATCATTATATAATTCATTTTTGCCTTTTGCATAGTGATCCATTGCAGAGAGGGAGATTAAAAGAGGAAGGAAGTATTTTCAGTGATCAATCAAGACTTTGCAGGAACCTAGCTTTTTTTATGAAGCTTTGACAGGATTGACAGGGAGGACATTGGGAGGCAGCATGTGAGAATCTCTGTAATATTAAGCCAGTTTATAAGTGTCAACCCCTCTACTGTCTTGGACTTGCAGATTTTCTTCTACACTAAATTAGTAATAGGTAGGAAGATACATATAAAAACTGGAAAATACACATGTCAAAACTGAAATGATGTTTTATTTATTTAATGTTGTACGGCTTTAAAAAATGTCATAGAATCATAGAATCAACCATGTTGGAAAAGACCTCTGAGATCATCAAGTCCAACCCTTGATCCAACACCACCATGGTTACTAGACTGTGGCCCTAAGTGCTACATCCAGTCTTTTAAAAAATTTCTGAGGATGGTGAATCCACCTTCCTGGACAACCCATTCCAATGTCTGGTTATTCTTTCTGTAAAAAATTTCTTCCTAATATCCAACCTAAACCTCCCCTGGCAGAGCTTAAGATTGTCCTTATTATTTACCAATTAATTCAAGTCCCAGATATGGTATATTGTCCACCCTCTCTACTACACAGTTCTAAAAGAGAAACTAAGTGCATGTGCCTTTTTCTGCCTTGGTATGCCCTTACAGATTGAGTCTTTATTAAAATGTCTCCACAACTAATGTAACAAAAACACTGCACAAGGTACTTGCTGTTCACTGTTTTATTTAAGCCTGCAAATACCACTGGTACATGCAAGTTTTAATTCTGAATGTCCTGCAAAAACTTGTGAATCTGCAGAGAAATAGAAAACAAGAGATAAAACCATAAATATCTCAGAAATTGAATATATATTTGTAGTTCAAGTACTGACCAGACTTTAGCCATATTGAAACTTCAGAACAACCTTGCCTGAACACCACTGAAGTTAGGCTGCTTCCCTCAGGTGTTACAAGCTTTAGCAAAGTGTTTGTCCTATAAAGTGCCTCAATGGCAGGAAGCCATAGTTGCATGGATTTGGTTTCAGCTGGTGGACTATATTATTTTAATTTTTTTGTGTGAAACAGGTAGTAGAAAGAAAATAATATATAGCCTACTTTGCAGTTACTTCAGTAGCAGGAGCTCCTTTTCGCCTAAGCAAGGCTGATGCTAATTTTAAACTCTTCATTCTCACTTTAGTACTGCCTATTCTTCTCCTGTTTACCAGCAGGCTCTGGTTTGATTTCCCAGATATTTATCAGAGGATAGATAAAATCACCATTTACCTTGACTATAAAAAGAACCTAAGCTTGTCCAGAGAAAGACAGTGGTCTGAACCAAAGCATTACAAGAGAAGTGCTGCTTTGTTATGTGCCAGTCCCACTGAGTGCATGGTGCTTTCTGGAAATGAAAAGGAAAGCATTGTTTCAGTGTCAGAGAACCTCTACTTTCAACACATCCATTAAGATGGATTCAACCCCATCCATGAAGATACATTCGTATAATAGTACACACTTTATCCATACCTGGTATGTCTGGAGGCTTTGGTCTAGAAAGACGTCTCTTTTGAGACTTCTAACACCACTTATGGACATAGGTGCACTGTCTGGTGTCCATTTAACTCAGCCTTAGATAATAAAAATTTGCAATGCTCTTGTCTTGTTTACATAAAACTAAAATACCGGCTCCCCTGCTCTGTCACCTCCTATTTCCCAGATACATCTTTTAATATAGGGAATTATTTTGCTGTTGTCATAAACTCATGGATCTTGCAGTGTTAAGCCACCCATGATGTATTGTCAGTAACAAGCTTGGCCATGCACTAAGAGCAACACTTTGATCTGGGTTTTACTGAGCTGCATAAAGCAGTAGCCTGAAAACTGTGTGCAACTCCCCTCGCCTTTTTTTTTGTCTTTTTTAGACTAACCTTAATTAGGTTTGACTGCAGAACTGAAGAGAGCAGTTTGTGCATTTTGCAACTGCACCCCATCAGTCCTGAGGAGTTTTAGCCCAACCAACTGGCATATGAACCTCAGTTGTTTTTTTCTCTAAGCTGCACCATACTCTGGTAGTTTTTTTAACCTCAGTCATTTCTAATTAAGACCTTTGTTAGTTTCTGAAGTTGTGTGGTAATTTACTCAAAATAGCCTTGTCTGTGATTCTAAGCCCCTTCTGTGCAGACTAAGGAATAGCTATTGCCTGAAAAATTTTAGAATCACATCTTTTTTAGTGCAAGGTTGGTTTAGCAAAATGGTCGTGGTTTATCACCTGTTGCATTTTTCTTTGTAGAAGTACAAAATCTACTTAAAGCTAAGAACTTTCTGGGATGTTGTGTGAATTTTTATACTGGAACAAATGTTACACATGTGTCATGGTATCTGAATCAGTAACTGGCAGACTTATGCCATTTCTAATCAGTACTAAACAGAGAAGCACTGTGAAGAACAGCTGTGCCAGAGAAGTGTATGGAATACTTAATGAGAAGACAATATGATACTCCATAACAAAACATGCTGGATTGGTTTCATTTGTTTGTGATTTTGTAACCACCGACTCCTTTTTTTCTGTTCTTTATTTAGTCACCATTAAAAGGTGGTTTCATTTGTGCTGTGAAGTGTGCTTCTTTTACTTTAAAGACTCTTTTGTGAGCACACTGGTTTTTTTTAAGAAGTTGAAATCTTTTGATGAATCCCTTACTTTTATGTTTAGTACAGATATTGTGGGCACTGTCATTTTCATACTACTTGGGATCACTGGAGTCCTGCATACCCCTTAATAGGGCCAGAGCTCCTTTAGACAGTGCAGATCTCTGACAAACTTGCACATTTCTTTCCTTCTACTGAAATTATTTTTGTGCGTTCACAATTCAACATTTTAATAAGTGGGCTATGATTTTATGTATCTAACAGTAGTGTTGTAGGAATTTTGTATTAAATATATAAACCATCTAGGTTTTGTAGGGTGTGGTGTGTAATTTTTTAGAATACCTAGTGTAATAATTAATAATAATGGCCAGTCTTCACGAGCGAAGATCCGGGGAAGGTCTTTACACCTTCCAGCCTGCGCATTGGATTTTTTAGGTGAGACACAGTGTGCACGGAACTGAGCCCACCCTTTAATCCTAAGGTTCATCTGCCGGGTCCAAGCGAGCTTGGACGGTGGCAGCGAGGTCCTCAGGACGTAGATGGGTTACCTTTAAGGGCTAACGAGCTCCATCTGCCCGGGAGTGGCCCTGACCGGGAATCGAACCCGGGTCTCGGCGGTGACAGCGCCACGCCCTTAACCACTAGACCACCAGGGGTATACCTAGTGTAGTTTGGGAAGAAGAGGAAAGAGAAGAAAATTTCAACTCCAGAAAGGGTTTCATTTATTGTCAGTGGAAACTGTTTATCAAATGTCTGTCCTGTCAGAGGATAATAATAGACATAGCCATGTATAGAATAATTTATTTACCTCTTTATTTTGGCAGCTCTGTTCTCCTTTCACACTTAATTGTACACACAAATGTACATGCTGGCCTAATGAAGGGTAATGTAAAATTCACCAGTGCTTTCTGCTCTGAGGCAACCATTGTTTTCTGGATGTCCAGTTACATAGCTGTATCAGAAGCTATCTGGGCATAGGTGGAGTATCCTCCTTCCCAGATAATACCATGACCATCAAGAGCTAGACCAGGCTAGCATGCCTATGAAAATTTTGCCTGTACTCTGCTGAACAAGTGTTCTTTACAAATGCCTCATGGGTGAAACTGCGAACACACAGGTGCCCTTCCACCGTTCACTTTGGCTAATAAACATACAAAAGCTGGATTTTGAAACAAATATCAGAATTGTTTGTTTCACTGTGTTAGGATATGAAGTACAAGACAAGAATCCTGGGTGTCAGTAGTCACCCACTGTGTATGAGGATAAGGGCTGAATGTAATTCCAGGTAAGAGAGAGGTCTGTAGTAAGTGGGAAGCTGGATACTTGAAAAGAATTCATAAGCTAGTTGTGTTTTGTACAAGATAATGTGAATCTTATGGTAATATACTTCTATATTAAATGCACATGATGAAATGTGATAATGAAAGATGCTGGACATCTGAACCTCATATTAATACTATCTAAAATTTGTGTATCATGTAAGAATTAGTATTAGTGCTTTTATGCACATAGCCTTCCTGAGCAGATCAGTTTGTAATTTTGATGTGTTGTTTGTTTTACTTAAGGAATCAGCTGGAGGGGATATTCAGTCTCCTTTAACGCCGGAAAGTATTAATGGCACAGATGACGAGAGAGCGATGCCAGAAGTGACGCAGAACTCAGAACCAAGGGCTGAACCAACACAGAATGCATTGCCATTCACTCATAGGTACAGATTCCATTCCCACATCCTGATTAAGTGATACCTATCTCCTTCCTTGTTAAAGGGACCTGCTCCCATATTGTGTGGGGGAAAAAAGCAAACCCGCTCCTCCCCAAAAAAATAGACCAACTTTTAGATTTGCAATATAATCTTTGTTTTAATAAAAAAAAAAGTATGAGAAAATCTGTTGGAGTAAGATTTGGGGGAGCATTACTTTATAATCAGCCATTGAACACTGGTTAATGTAGGTGTCCCTTTAATAGGAATCATTATTTCACTGTCAGAGATCTTGGTAAAATTACCTGCTTCATAGAATATTCCAATTAAATTATTTTTGCACACATTGTCTATATGACTGATGGGACTGGATGTCAACCGTTCGTTGACAACTTTTTGGAGGAAAAGGGACTCTTGCAGCACATTTGGATTATGAAGTTTAAAGCAGCCTTTAATTGAGCAATTCTCTGACAATTGTAAAATTTTTCAACTTCTTTCAAAGTACAAGAGAAATGTAGGTCTGCTTCAGACTGGATTATAATTTACTGCACTAGGAATGCCATGCTTTGTTGTTCTTTAAGAAAGGTAGGGCTTTTTATTTAATGATACAAAGTTACAATGGATATATCCTGCCTATTAGAAGTAATTGTAGATGAGTCACTCTCAATAATTAACACATAATGTACTTGGGACCATTGAGAGTAAGTGAAACATTTTATAAACTTAGAACACAGCTAGAAATACTAGATTTCATTTTTTTAAGTGTTGTGTAATTCCATTTAAGTAGAGTTTGAGCTTTTGATCAAAGGTTAAGGAATACTAGCACATCAGATGTGTCATGCAATTCAGAGTGAGTAGAGGTGAAACTGAAACTGAGCAGGTTGTCTCAGTTTTTGTAAGAGAATAATACTATAAAACAGCTGGAAAAATTAATATACATTTTCAAATGAGAAAAAAAAAAACAAAACAAAACTTGACAGTATTTTTTTTAACAGAGTGATTGTGTTTATTTTTATACTGTCACCAGTGCATCTATTATATGTTTTAGAAGAAATGGTGCACTGTATGAGTGCTATGTGCATGTTGGAGGAGTATACAAATATTGCACATCTGTCAGTGTTCTGTAATGAGTTCATTTAGACTGCTTGAGTGTTGAAATTCTCTATCAATACTTTTGTGAAAAGAAGCTGTGATAAAGTCCACACATGAATGCTGTGGTTTGTTTTTTCAAAAAATAATAGCTTGAAGATCTGCCCTCTGTTCAGCATATGTAAATGTGTTTTCTGGTATGTCAGTATAGTAATTAAGTTTGCTCTCCACTCAGTGTGACTGAAACTGCTCTGAAACTACACAGTTGTCATTATTGATGGTGTAGAATAGAGATTTCAAAACTTTTAGATGCATTGCATTTTTCTACTTTATGTATGCAGTGAGAGCCTAGTTTTAGATTTTTGTTCTGTTAAATACCACTAGCTATAATTGGTTTTCCAATAATAACTCTGCATTTTGAGATTCACTTCTCATGTTGATTCCTAAAAGACCAGTGTTTTGTCTTGCTAATGAATGGTTTGCTTTGAGTTTGTTAGTGAGCTGTTACTGAAGAAAACCTAAGTTTTTACACCCTTTGAAATAAAGTAATTTTTGGAATAGCTAAGGGTTGTATTATAAATAAATAAAGTTCATTTATTTATTATGAAGAAATAATATAATAATGGCCAGTCTTCCCGAGCGAAGATCCGGGGAAGGTCTTTACACCTTCCAACCTGCGCATTGGATTTTTTAGGTGAGACACAGTGTGCGCGGAACTGAGCCCACCCTTTAATCCTAAGGTTCATCTGCCGGGTCCAAGCGAGCTTGGACGGTGGCAGCGAGGTCCTCAGGACGTAGATGGGTTACCTTTAAGGGCTAACGAGCTCCATCTGCCCGAGAGCGTCCCTGACCGGGAATCGAACCCGGGCCAAGATGCATGAAACACATGCATAAAAGAGATGGAAAGTGAAGCCTTCAGGAATGTGTTAACCCTGCTTAATTGGGCATGTTTTTGTAGAGGCTTTTTGTAACAATAAATTAGCAACTGGGTAGATCCATCTAGCTGCCTGTGCTGTCTGAAAGAATGTTCTCATGCAGGCAGTTTGCTTGCCCTGATTTAAAAGGAAAAAAAAATTTAAAACCTTACTCCTGATCATTGGAGAATCCCTGGACTTCTCATATGTTAAGGGTATAGAAAAGTATTGTGCTTATCCTTGTTCTCTGCCCTTCTGATGACATGGTGTGTATGGCACTCCATGTGTGATGGAGAGGAGTTGCTGAACTGAACCCTTTCCTTGTGCGCCCTGGTAACTTCCACTGATCCTGAACCTCTTTCTCCTGATCCTAAGTTTCAGCAAAGATAAAGTTTAGTCAGCACTTTGGGATGAGGAGGGTAATGCTAGAAGGGCATTTGAGTGTCATCTTCTTTGTGGCAATAATTTTTACTTATTTACCTTTAGTCCAGAAGCTGCTAATCAGCCTCCAGATGCTTTTCAGAAGAAAAGGTACAGTGGATTTTCCTCAATGAGTTCAACTGTAGGGTTCATCACGGTCAGTAAGGGTGGACTGAAGTAACACTACCATAGCAAGTTCATTTCTTACATTAATAGGAAAGCTCTATTCTGCTCTGGCATTGACAGGACATACTTATACTGTTAAGAGTGAAAAGAAGTGGTCCTCAGTGCAAGTTGGAGCACAGGGAAGGCATATGTGGGGCTGCATGGAAGGAGCCCAGGCAATCATGGTGCAAGTGTTGGAGCTTTCTGTGCAGGATGAGGTGCTGCAGCATTGTGTGGCAAGGGTGGCTGGTAAGGTGTGAACTGTGTTGCTGCCAGGAGGGTTGGCAAGCACAGCAGAGTGCAGAGGTGTCTCTGTGGCAGATGATACAGAGGGGAAAAGGTGTGAAGGGGGCTACTGTCAAAGCAGTGGTTTAGATAAGGTGTTTCATGTTGTTTTATGAACTGGAAGAGTCTGACAGGGAGGAAAAGGTCAGAAATCAAAGGTGTGGAAGTCATGCTTTAGTTTACATCCCACTGCTTGTCATTTTTAATCTGCACACCTGAAAAATGTTCAATTGGCTTTTTTTATAACACGTCTTCACTGGCCAGAGATGTCTTCTTCTACAAACGTTCTTCTCTGCATTCTTTATGTCTTAGCGTAAGTAGTTAAAGCTTGTTATTTCAGCAGCATAAGTGCAGACTACATTTGTATTTATAGATATTTTTTGACCACTTATACTGAAAAACCAAAACCAGCATTACTTAAATCACCAGAGTTTTATTAAAACTCAAATATCTTTTTGTTTCAATAAATAATTCTATGTATTGAAATTAACATTCTCCAGAATATGTCTAAAATCTCATTCATATGCCATAAGCATGGTAGGGCTGAAGTCTAGTTGCTTCAATTTATTCTCATCTTGAAAGTCCTAGTGTTCTTCACAAGTGGTGCAACTCAAATCAACTGCTTGAGATAAGGGTATTAAACAGAAGTCTTGCATAGAAGATAAACTCCTGTAATTAACTATCTTGCCTTTTTAAACTGTACATGATGATTAATATTGAACTAAGAAGTAATATTATTGTGAACTCTCACATCCTATATAATGTGCTATATAGCCTGAGCACTGTTCTTGTGGTTAAATGTTGCCAGAACAACTGGAAATAAAATGTAACCTGAGCCTGCCACTAGAATTTTTAAAAATCTTGTCTTAGATATTAGTCGGTCCTTATCTGAATAATAGCTGGTCAAGGAAGACCTTTTCGTAGCAGAGACTAGATTATCAAATATAATATTTAAAATAATTAGGACTAAAAAAGTACATATTTTTGTTCTATGTACATATTTTTGTTCTTAAGTAAATTTTAATTTCCTCAGACATCTTTCTTGTTTAAAAAATATTTCCCACATTCTTGAAGTTGTGATTTTTTTTTCCTACTAAAACTGTTGATCATAACATGGGGTTTGGAGAGAAAAAAAATTGCTAAAACATTTTAACTACTTCTGATGCAACTGGCTTTTAAATAAAAGTTTTCAGATGACCAAGAATGCATCATGAGAATTAAAACTTTTAATAAAACTATTCAGTTTTAATATTTGAATTATATTGTAAGGATGAATAGTGTATATGGTGAACTCTACAACTTCTGCTTTTTGATAACTGGAAAACTTGCTCTTTCACTCTTGAAGAGAATACATTTGTTCATAAGAAGCTTTATTCCACTTTTGGCACCTTAAGAAGCTGATAAAACACATTTTCAGAAACAAAATATAAGAGGATTCTTCTGGGACAAACCTTGAAAATCTTCGATTTTGTGTTAACCATGATTTGCACCTGTTACCTCATTTTTTCTTGTAACATATAAACTTTGAATTTCTATTGCATACTGTTTTGATCAGACAATATATGTGTGTGTGTTTGTTGCTTGTTAGTTGGAATTCCTATTTTTATATTCAAGTGAATTTTTAATAGGGAATTTTGACTCATTGCCTTAGTGAAAATGGACTTAATTCACATGATGCTTATATTTTAGATATGTTATTGTCTAGATAGGCTACTATTTAATAATGCTGCATGTAAATCCAATGCTGTACAACAAAGAAAAACCAAAAATCTTGCTGCTGGATCATGTTCGTTCACTGCAGTTTCATTAAAAGTTGTATGTAGAAATCTCTTTAGTAGATTTTTCACTGGATGTATTAAAACTGCTCACTTCTACAAGCTTAAACAATGTGGTTCTGTTACAGTATAGGTACTTTGTGAATCATATGGAACTGTTAACTTAGCTTTAAGGAAAATTATTGTGTTGGTTTGTAATTTGAATTTATGCTTAAATCCTAGTATTTGGATGTTCTGTATAGAGTTATACATAGCTTCCTTACCAAGTAGTCCTGAGGTGTGCATTTCTTTATTTAAAATTCTTCATTTTGAATGTTATTTAACCTGATCAGAGGATAATTCATTGTTGTGAGGAAGCTCA